CGCGAGGAGAGCTTCGCCGTGGGCGCCCTCGGCAGGGCGCTGGGCGCCGAGCTGGCGAGCGCCGCGCCCGCCCGCGCCCGGCGCAGGGCCGCCCCGCACCGCGCCTCCCTCCTCCTCGTCGACCGCGCGCTCGACATGGCCGGTAAGGACCCGCCGAGGGCCCCGCGCCTCAGCCCGGCCCTTATCCCCRTGCCCCCTTGTCCCCATGGGCAYCAGTCTTGCCCTCGGCRGCCCTTGGTGTGTCCTTGCMCYACAGCTGGCCATAGCCCCAGAGGAAAGTCCCTGCTGTCAGCAGGGGATCCGCTTCTGCCCCCGCTGCTTTGTTGCCCCCTGGGGACCTTAATTGTGCCCAAGGGTCCGGCCCAAGGTGTGAAGGAAATGCTCTGCTTACACTTTGTGGGTTACTGTGAACTGCTCATGCATCCTGCTTGCACCCTCTGCATTATGTCTGTATGAATAGCTATATACATGTATAATGTCTGTATGAATAGCTATACACATGTGTAATGTCTGTGTGAATAGCTATACACATGTGTAATGTCTGTGTGAVTAGCTAGCTGTACACCAGAATACCCCTGTATATTATGTCCGTATGAATAGCTATACACCTGTATATTGTGGCTCTATGAATAGCTCTACACCTGTATATTGTGGCTCTATGAATAGCTCTACACCTGTATATACACTACCTAGACAGCTCTCTGTGCATGTTCATGCTGGACTCAGTCAGACTCAACGGTCTTGAAGGTCTTTTCCCAACCATCATTATTCTATCTTATGGTTCTGTGTACGCAGACATGTATTATACCCTAAGTGTTACACTCACCCTTTGAGTGGTGCATGCSCTTCAGGTGTGTGGCTAGCACCTTGTTTTGACTTGAAATTGTTATGTTTCAATGAAAACAGTACAGGGTTATTTATGCAACATCCTTCTGGGAAGCAAATGTAAACATGAACTATTTGGTTAACTTAATACAGTGGATTTATCCCCCTATATATCCATATGTGTTTGTGGTCTGCAGTGTAGAAATCAAGCAGTGTTGTTGAAGTAGTAACGAGCTGCAGGTGAGAGTCTTTGAGGCCGACCTCCTCATTTGGGGCTCATTTAAACCAGCTTCTTAAATTGACCCTCTCCAAGGAGGAAGTTTTGACATATGATTTGTAAGTATCTTACTGAGCTGCATCTTGCCCAGTGTGTGGGCTGTATATATGTGAAACAGCTCTGTGTCCATGAGCTACTGTAATGCTTTCGTATTCCAAACACCTGAAAGTCATTAAATATAGATGCTGGGCAACTCTTTAAGTGCTACTTTAAACCAGGTGCCTTGGAAGATGCTGAATAGGCTGTTGGGAGGTAGAGGTTTTTGTACCTTGGAGACTTGTGTGGAGCTTTGGAGAAGCTCTAGCAGGTATCTAAAGGAATTGTGTTAATGGATTTCTGACCTTTGGCCGGTTGCCGTGCTTATTTAGCACAGACTAACAGTTTCATTGGCATCAATTGACTTCAATAGTAAAAGTCAAAATGTCTCAGAAATGACATTTTCTGGTGCTACAGTTGCAAACAAGTCAACAATGGGAAAATGGTGTTTGTGGTATTTAAGTAAGTGTTAAGACTTTTCTGCTTTAAAGAACAATCTGCCGAAGCATTTATAACACTTTTGTTAGGAACATCCAGTGCCATTTTCAAGAAACTGTACCATCTTAGCTTTGATATTTATTCTGAATTAAAAAAAACTAGTGGTATACAAAATGGCAAATGTTTCTATTCCAAAATCTTAAGGCTTCTAAGTGCCTGCCTGTAGGTTCTTGCAAGCCAAAGAATYTTCTCTGAAGTATCTTTCTAAATTTTGGATTGAACTCTTGTTTTTTTCTTCCCCATCGTTATTATTTCTGTAATATATTTCTGTAATTATGGATAGAATGAAAAATTCAAACGTTTTTYTCTTGTATAAGAGAAACACGTTGGATGAACTGCAGCAGGTACATTTTAGTGATCTCCATTTACTGCACAGTGCTCTGGCTTTGGACAAAGGCTGCTTCCTCCATCAGTGTGGCACCAGTGCTGCTCTAGGAAGGGGGGAGTGTGTTTTTTATCCCCTGGATACATCCGAGAATTATCACTCTCACTAGTTCTTCAAATCTAATTGTTTAAAGCTTTGTGACTAGTACTGCCTCAAACTTTGTGGATATTTACAGCTGCTTTTGTTTGCTTGCTTATTGTTTTGAAGCCTTTGAAATTTTTGCTTTGAAAAGCAGAATAAATGTTCCCAGCTGGAGTGCAAGTCTAATAAGCTAAGCTGAGATCCAAGTGAACTTTAATATCTTAATTCCTTCTCATTTTTCTGCTCAAATATTTGCACCACTCAGTATTTGCACTATGMTATCATATTCTAACTCCCTTGGTACATTTCTTAATCACCACCTTGCCAGCATTATACTTCTTATGAAGCATTTTTTTTTTTGACTTCTCAGATTTTCTCTTCATTKGTGAACCTGTTGATACTGTTCAGATCATAGTTTCAGGACATTCAAATAATTGAACAGTTGCAGTCTCTGGATACTTCTCAGGAATTGGGATATAGGCCCCTGTAAGCACAGGAAATAGTGCTCTGTTCTCTGCGTGCATGCAGCTGGCTTGGAAATGTATTGTAAATAACACAGAAAAGAATGAATATCAAAGAGAGTACTGAAGTATTAGAAGAGTGCAGTAGGGAAAGGTGATGAAAATTGAGACGAGTTTGTCCCCATGTGTTTCCRAGATTTAGTCTTACACTAACCTCCACAAGCGGTTGAAACAGTAGGTATACAGCTTGATAGTACGAACAAGAAACATGTTGCATGTGGTTTTTGTTCATTTTCAACACCGTTAAGCTACTTGCTTTGAATGTATAGAATTCAAAATTTGACTGACAGAGAAGCCACTAGTGTCTCATGAACCGTTCCAAGTAGCTGCAATAGCTGTTGGACAATGAGCAGGGCCTTTGTAGGAGCACTTTCCAATTCAAGCTCCTCGTATTTAGTGACTGCCTTCAAAATCTCCCCATTTGTGCAAGTTTCTGACTGCTGTTCTGGACTCAGCTGATTGACAGTTGAGACAGCTACACCTCTATCGAATCTCATGTGCTTCTGTTTGTAAGTCTAATGAGGGGATGAGGTAAAAGAAGGGCATGCTGCCTTGAGTTTCCTCTGTCCTCAAATCTGAGTAATAATCTGGCATGAAGACCTCTTTTACAGTAGTCGGGTAACTTCTTGCTGCACCTGATATATGTACATACTGAYGGCATTAAAGCTGTCAGCTGCCTTGTATGCTGATGGTCATGAGAAGTTGTTGTGCAACCTGCTGACTATTCTTAAAACAATGAGATGAGAGTCTAGGAGATAGTCTAGATACACTCTGTCAAAAACAATTTGGTTAAAAATTGACCTTCTCTTACTTGCACTCCCCGTTTCCTGGGCTTCTACAAGGCTTGACTTTGCTGCTAGCCTTGGCTGATTTGCGTAGTTGGTCACAGGTGAGAGTAGTTTAAAAGCTAAGGGAGACCTTTCCTGGTTGATTGATGAGAAGTAGCAGAAGCTGTTAGTGTCTGCTGGTCAGTGGGACTATTGAAGAAGTAGTAGTTAACAGCAAAGGCTGGGGTGGTGTTGTCTGGTTGTGGAAGCAACTCAAACAGGCGGAGACTTCTCTTGTTAGTTAAAGCAAAGGAAGGAGAGATGTTAATGATTAACATGGATTTCTTTGCACTTGAGGTGTTTCTGTTTTAGTTAAATGCCTTTTCTAGCTAAATATCTCTTGCATGCACCAAGTTTGCAGAGAGGGGCATTTCCTCCTGTACCTTGAGGAGAGTTGAGAAAATCACCATCTGTTTTCCATGTCTGTAGCTTTGCAAGTCTTGATACCTGCAGTGTGGCTGACAAGGTAGGAGGAATGTAGGGCTTTGGAGAGCAGATGGGTTAAGGAGTTGCAAAGACAACCCAGTTCGTTTCACCTGTAATTCAGCAATCTAATCTGGCTAGGGAGGGCAGAAAAGAAAGTCACTGTTATTCTGTGGCTTTTAGGATCTGGTGAAGCAAACTGATAATCTCAATCTAGCTGAGCAACCAGGTGCCCATGCTATAGAATCACCACATGCTAGGCACATGTGCTTCCCTTGCTTCCTCTGGATAGAGACATTGCCAGCAAGGAGTTTGAGCTTGCTTTTCCCCTCCTTTTCCATCCTCCCTTCTCTCTTTGAGTCCTGCATCTAGTCAGAATAGTTGTGAAGCAAGAGGAGGTTTTATGGCACAGGACACGTGGCTGCTCAGCTTTATATAGGTATATGTACACACACACASAGATAAAAGTCAAACTTTTTTGCCTGTTTTTTAAATATCCACTGTAAATTCCATTTAACAACTTTCTTTTGCATTTTACATATTTAAAAGTACCAAACCAGGGAATGTCTAATAGCTGTAAGACTAAATTATGCTTTTTAAACAAGTCATTCTGGAAAGATATCAATAGTTTTAACTCCAGACATTCCAATGCTTAATTTTTCTAGCAAAATATCTTTGAAAGGCTAAATGTCAACTTAGTGTTATGACTAACAGTCTCATTTTCCCCAAAACATATGGTTATTGTTTTGCTCTTAGTTCTTGGCGCTTTTTTTCTCCTTGTTGTCTACCTGATATTTTGTTTTGAATCTTTTCCAGGAGCAGTTGGTCATCATGGGGACAACCTTGCAGAGAAGATACTTTCTGTGCTTCCCAAGCTCCCAGGCCACAAGACTGATGTGATGGTCAACATGGTGGAGCTCACGGCGCTGCAGACTCCCGATGAAACGTGCAGTGTTATAGCACCTGGCTGCTTAGCACAACCAAAGTAAACATTCTTTTTTCTTCRTTTTTTAACATGTTGAGTATGTTTGTTATTTTGGCATGAAAAAAGAGGAAGAAAGAACAAGCTTAAAAAAAAAAAATCCAGTGTACAGAATAGACACATCTGGTCTTAATTATTGTGAAATATAATCGTTGGTATGTGCGCATTAAGTGATTGAGCCAGATAAAACCCCTCAAAGTGGGAGAATCTCAGAACTTTTTTTTTTTTTTTTTTTAGATTTGCATTGTTTAAACTGGTGTAGATCATTGTAGTAGAAATCAGCTCAGTTAAACCCCAAAAATTTCATGTGATGCTTTTTATTTCCTGTTCCAATAAAAGGCAGATCTTCAGGGTGGTGTTTTGCTCCTCTAAGCCACTTCATAAGAGAGCTGCTTGCTGAGCTGTAGTTAAGAGTAACTTTTGACTTCTGATTTTATCCCTGTTTTCAAATGTGGCCTCTGTGGTGGAAGGTAAGTTGGCATAAATTGAGATGTATGGGCAGCTGTATGAAGTCCTCTGATTTTTTTGTTTAGCAAGGACAACTTTTACCAGTGATTCTGGACAGTTATATTTGGCTCTGTGTAATTTGCAACTAATACTTTGCTTGTAAAATACATCTGATGTGATGTTTCATTTTCTAGTTTCCAAGCATCTGATTTGATGTTTCAATTTCTAGTTTCCAAGCTATCTGAACTGAAAGTTTCCTGAAGTTTCTGTTACAGTGCATAAACCAGGAAATACACCAGGTGCAGGTTTCGCACTGCAAAAAAAAATTATGTGCTATGGAAATTCATATGGTGCAAATGAGGTGAAAATGTCTCTCTGTGCCATAATGTTTCTTCCACATATTAGAACATATTTTTTCAAAATGGGACACCTAACGTGTTTATTCTGGTTTGACTTCTTTTGGTGCTTCATACCTGCTCCCTACCCTTTCTCTCCTCCCATTCTCTTCTCCATTCCACCTCCCACCCCTGGAAAAAAAAAATGCAGAAAATTTCTCTCTGTTCTAACATCTAGCCTTCTTTTATGAGAGCCTTATGATTGTTTGTCATCTTCCATCTCCCACATGTGCTGTAACTAGGTCCAGGGTCTAAGCTTCACCCTGAATAACAGTCTCTGCTCTCTGGAGATGGAGAGGAAACATTTCCTCATACAGGGGGACTCAATTGAAAGTTAGTGCCAGGGGGACTAACTTTGAATAAGTTATGGTTGTTTTCTCGTTGGCTGTGACCCAGCTGACCACTGCAGAAGTGCCACATCCTGAAGGTCTGTCTACASAGCCAGTTGAAGTTGCTGTTGTGGATGGCACATGTGCTGTGATAGCTGCTTTTTGTGCTAGCTGTAAYGAGCTACCAGAAATAAGTAACATTTCTGACAGTGTGGACTAGGGAGAAAAATGGTGTTTAATGCCTGAAGATTGCTGACTTTTGCTACCACATCGTTGTTCCTGACGTTATTGACACTGAGATTAAAGTTATTGCTAGGGTGCCTTCCTCTGTTTGGATTAAGGCTTCAATCCCCTTGGCCATGTTTGTAGGAACAGGCTGTAGAGCGTTTGTGTTGTAAAGTGGCTAGTGGCGAATACCTTGAGGTTCATGTGACTAATGGAAGTTGTCTTTGTTATTAATACAGTTATTAATTTGGAAAAATCTCCATGAGCAGAAGCTGTTAAAGAACAAGGGATGCTGGTTACAGTGTGCTCGACTGCTKCTATGCAAGTGCAGCAAAGTTGGATGGTAGTAACGGGTACCAGCTGGCTCTCTGGTAGCAAGGCAGTTTGTTACCACATCAGGTTCCTGTAAATGKCCTCCCTCTGCAATGTCATCTTGCTGCATCTGTGTCACTGGCAGCCTAAGAACAGCTTAGGCCAACAGCAGTCAGGAGTGATGGCACAAGGTTGATCTTGCCTGAGAGCAGAGCAAATGGACTAGGTGACCTCTCAACATCTCTGTTGTGATAATATATCTCCATGCTGGTGGCAGCTGAAGGAGTATTGCGTGCCTGAGAAGACAGTCTGCAAACCAAAATGTGGTTCTGCACTCTTCAACCCTCTATCTTTTCATTTTTTCCTCTATGAAATAACTAGAAATAGTTTCTAATTTAAAATAGGCATATAGTTCCTTAAGAGTACCAGAATCTATGCCAGTGTCTGAGTGGGTGGCTGAAGGCTGCAGCTTCCATTCTGTTTAGGACTGTTCTTAGTATTGGATTATGAACATGAACCTTAATGCTCTTGACTAGTATAAAATTGAAAGTTTCCACCAAAAAACTCCTGTGTCAACGATGCCCTTGGTTCTCTGTGAACGTAGTTATTGCCATTGGTAGCAGGCTTGGGAGCATACATTGCAACTGAAAAGGTAAGCCCTGATTTGTATTTGTAGATCATGTGTGGCAATGAGTATTACTGTGCTTGTATTTTTTTTTTCTGTGCTCTAGTAAGTGAAAGTAATAGTACCTTTTCTAAAGACAGAACTAGTAACTTAATTTGCAGCCAAATAAAATGTGCGTGGAGGGCTCTTCCACGTGGTATTTTGTGATCAGAGAGCCACATGTTGTGGCATTTCACAAACAGAYTTACATATTCAGAATATTTTTTCAAATGCTTTTGTTATTTTCTCTCAAGTTAATATTTGAGCCTGTTGTGGTGGAAGCAGCTCTGCTCTCTCCACACAGCTTGCTATATTTAGCTTTTCATATGGAATGCCTCTCCAGCAGAAACATCTGGGCTCAGTTACAGAGTTAGCATATAGAATTAATGAATAATTTATGGCTGGTGTAGTGAAATAAAGCAGGGTTCTTTCCTTAAACCTAAGGAAATAATGGGCTGCTTTAAAGATTTAGATGAAAATGTATATGCCATATGCTGCTGAGGTTACTATACTTTGAAGGTGCACTCTTCGCGAGGAAAAGAATTTCTAAACAAAAACTTCCAACCTCTTCTAGATTTCTTAGCTTTGTTAGGATTCGTAGGCTCAAAAATCTTGTGGAGCAGTTGTTTGCCCTTCTATAATCACTGACACATTGCTGCTCCAGTGTGAATGTTAGTTGAGAATAATGTTCTTTGAGAATTATATTTCCAAGTATTGTATTCATTTTCATATATAAATGTGTGTATGTATATATATTTATATATAAATGAAACTGTTTATAGACATAAAACAAGGACATACACTGTAAGCCAGAACTGCCTGTTTCTAATTCGAAATCCTGATAGCCGTGCTGTCCTTTCAAAAAAGTGATACAAAATAGGAGTGGGGATTGTGCAAGCTTAATGTAGAGGTAATTTAATATGTTTGTGTTAATTGCAGCTCTCTTGTTGGTCTGTGCATTTTGCTAACCCAATAGTATTAAAAGGAATATTTCCTTTTAACAATTTCAGCTGAACTCCTGATTTTAAGTGTGCACTAATGTATTAGAAACGATCTGCCAGGCCACGCACATGAAGGTGTGCGTGGCTGCGCCCCGTGTTGCTGTTTGCAGACGTASCAGTGCGGCACTCCGACGGTGCCAGCTGTATCTCCAAACGCCCTTGGGCTGCGTGCTCAGGGTCACAGAGGGCCACGCAGGAGCAGCCTGCAGCAGGGGCTGCGTTCAGCCCGGAGCGCCCTGCGTGGGGCTGAGCCTGCTGCCTCCTGCCCCGGATCTCTGGTGCGGGAGAGCGAGCAGGGAAGAGCTGCATGGAACGGAATTGGGRGCAACTGCAGAATACGTATGTTTGCTCTTTTTTAATCTGCTCTCTTATTAACCAAGAACGCTTTTAACGGGCTCTCATATTTTGCCGAGTAAACTGAATACTAAATTTGTTTACATATGTTTCAAGAACTTGCTGAATAGAGATTTTTCTTAACCTGCCTTTCCACTCTTACTTCCTTTTCTGCAGTCTTTGGAGTCTTTAAGCTTCTCAGAATTCAGTGTGATGATAAAATCTCAGGGAAAAAAAGGTCAAATTTCTAGCTAAAATACACATTTTTTTTTTTAAATGTACTATCCAACCAGCCATTGGGTTCTTATGACAGACACTTTTCCATAACAATGCAAAACTATAACATACATTTCATATTTGGCCTGCTATGCCTATGCCTAAAGCAATTTAGTGAGCAATGTAGCTGAGGTGTCTAGGCACTTTTGACAAAGCAATTGGAGTCACTAAATCATCTGGATTGGCACTGGGGAAAAATAAGTTCAGTTTGAGGTGATCTTATTGATGGTGTGATTCAGAAAAGCTTGATATGGAGGCCAGATGTTTAAAACATGGTACACACAATTTTTCCTTTGGTCTCTATATGAGAGATGTATGGATAGCTATGCTGAGAGGGGGAGAAAGTTAGAAATTAGAACAATCCGTGAGATACAGTTGTAAAAATTCAGTGTCTCATGTTAATGAAAGTTGAAAGCTTTCAGCTTTCTGAGAAATCTTCCAACTGAGAAATCTTTTCTCATCCTCATTAGCTTAGACATATTTGTATTTTGAAACAATTAGTACTTTAATTTGAAAAGTTATTTGAAATTTGAAAGTGTTATAATTCTTACAGTTTCTTATAAGTTACGATTCTTACAATACTTACTGGAGAAGAAAGCCCCACTCTGCATCTGGCTTTATTCTTGCAGCTGGTGACATGAAGCACCCAAGGTACGTGGCGGGGCTCGCAAAAGGTGGCTGGGGAGGCAGGTGTCAAGGAGACCTGGATTCCAGTCCCAGCTCTGCTGTCCACGTGCTGCGTCATCTTGAAGAAACTTCATTTCTTCCTACTTCTGTTTGCTCTTCTGTTCCTGTCCAAAAAACTTATTTTAAAACTTATTTTAATTTTGAAATAGAGAATTTCTCAGCATGTGCATTTGCAAAGTAAGTGGCAGCAGATCTTGTTTTGCAGCTGGGATTCAGCTCCCTGGGAGAGGACACACAATGTTCCAAACTACCGAATGGGCAGCAAGAAGGTGTCGAGACAAGCAAAGATGTTTGTTCCTTCTTTCAGGCTGTGCCATTTCCCATCCTGCCTGCA